CTTCTTCCTTATTTTGACATCAATTGAGGGTAGGAGATGGCTCTTGTTCAGCTCACTTAGTTAAGAGAAGTATAGCCTGGGTAAGGAGGATGGTAGGCTTTGCATTGAGAACCTTTTCTTGGTAAATTTTTTGCCATCAAAGAAAAAAAAAAAAACTAATGATTGAGAGAAGTTCAGTTATTCAATAAAGAGTTATTGAGAATTTTCTCAAGTTTTCTTATTTTGGGATGCAATCCAACTTGCAGATGTAATGTTTAGGAATTCTTAGGTGTGATACATAGGTTTTATCCTTAAATCCTTTAACAGATAAATTAACCATAATTTTTATTATATGTACCAACCATGAAAGCAAAATGCACTCTAGATGTCAAAGGTCCACAAGAAATCCGTCCTAATTTTGATTAGCTTCAGCTTACACCATGCAATGCAAAGCCAAATCAGCAGAAAAGGCACAATTATAAACCAGGTGATTAGGTATTATAGTAATATGTGACCAGCAAAAAGCCTTCTCTTTCTATTCAGATAATAATCTTGCCAATAGTTCTTGCAACAGCATATTTAATTCTCTAACTATATCAAAGTTACATTATGACTTCAAAGAGGGCCATCAAATTACCAGTGACTCTTTTGAGTAGTAGAGAATGCGAGGTAACTTGAGCACAGTTGTCGCAAACCAATCAGTAACTGCATCAACAGAGCGCTCTCCCTCAAACCTAGCATAAGAGATAGATTACTCTGATCCTGTTAGAATTATTGTATCCAGTGTAAGAAAGATGTTAAACTGCATAAAACACAATATATATGTATATATACTTCCCTTGAATAAAAAATGAAAAAGAGCAACTCACCTAACGAGACAATCTGTGGTTCTACAGTGTGGCGGAAAAGAAAAAAGTGAAGGAAGGCCTGCATATGCAAGTATTTAAGTCAAACAAGGAAAAATGTAGAGCACCAATATCCCATTTCTCAAGACGAACCAAATAATTTCAAATAACAAAGAAAATTTTGTTAAGTACTTCAAGCACGAAGATACACAAATTGATTCTTTTAACCTCAGTAGATATTTTAGCTGCTTCATAGTCTTCTTTAAATAGGTAACTATGTGAAAAATGGTTGAATATGTATTTTATTGAATATCATAACCTAACATATACAAGTTTTCCAGAATATGAAAAGAAATATACCATTAATTACATTTAGTACATTGTATCTTAATGTCCTTTGACCTAATTATATGCTTTCTCTAACATTTTTCCTCAAGCTAGGAAGTAGATATTACAAGTAGGAATTCTATTTCCTTTTCCTCCTTCGAGAGCTGAGTAGAGACAGGAAAACTAAAGGAAAGGAACAAGGTTGATGAGTTGAGTCGATATACCACTTACCATTCCTAAAGAAAGCTTGTCCTGTTGGGCTTCTCTCTGCCAGATATGTGGACAACTGGACATCACCAAGTTCCACCATACCAATGTTGGCAACTCCATCCATTAAAGCACCTAAATATAAACAGATGTTCAAAAACAAAATCAAGGAAAAAAAAGGAAAAAATCATATCTATCACTTAAAAGGCATCAGGTAATTAAATTTTATATTTTATATTTAGGTTCTAGATTATTCAAAGAAAGATATTTGTTTTGCTTTCTTTTACTGGAAATTTACGAGGAAGAAAAACATATGAAAGAGCCTTGCTGTCAATAACATGGAGGAGAATACAAAACTCTTTATGAGAGCATTAAAATTCCTGATTTCAGAATTTTTCATTATTGGTTTTACTGATTTTTTCAAGCATCATCTGATTCCTTGGTTCATTAGTACAACTGCAGTATTCCTATGAGTCACATGGAATAGGAATGATGTCATCGCTCTGAGTATCCTCACCAACTAGCAAGCCGCCTGGAAAGTCCATATCACCTTACAAACCGTCCTTTTCTTATGACAACATTAGAATTATATGTTGTGAATGAGTGCCCAGATAATTGCCCAAGGCTATCCTGCTCCAAGTTAGGTTCTTTCTCAAATAATTGAGATTCTTGTCTGCAACTTTCTCGCAGTTTCTGCACCTCCAGACCAGTTTCCATAAGTGGCTTTTTCTTTCTTGTCTGCTTTGATGGATGTGTCAAATAGCTTGTGTGATGCTTCCCATATATCTTCCCCTTGCTCCCCCTTTCCCCTTGCACTATTGGGTTCTACTTCTTAATTCAAATCCGCATGTGACTTTCAACTTCCTCCACCTCTAAAAAATCAAAAGAGGAGGCTTACAAACTTAGTGAACATCATCATCCATTATCCCTTGTGATTGTTCTTCCTCCACCTCAGCTTCTTCTTCTCCAGGGTCCTTCAACTTCATATTTTTCTTTTTTCCAGATTGTTCCTCCGCCTTAGCTTCTTCCTCTCTAGGGTCCTTCAACTTCATCTTTGCTTTTTTCCAGATTGTTGTTACAGCTCGGCCATGAGCCACAAAGATCTCTGCTTTGCCCCATAACTCACTGCTTCATCTCCTCCCAAGACAATCACACTGAAAGAGGGACTACATATGATTGACTTCAGCACGCCTTCTCTTCAGTCTTCATTCCAAGTATGTCCCCTTGAAGTTTTGGCCCGTGATATGGTCTTGTTCGATGGCGTTCTCTTCATCATTGTGAGAAAGAGCAATCGACAATGTAGAGTTAGTTAGGACACGTCTAACATGGGTGCTCCACTCGGCCATTTG